AAAAACTTCTTTAATAGAACATGTGATTGAATTAGAGCCCAATGTCCGTCCGGTTAAACAGCGCTATTTTCCCATTTCTCCCGCTATTGAAAAGATCGTTCATGGTGAAATCGATGAAATGATCAAGTTGGGTGTGATAGAAGAATCTCCCAACAGTCCTTGGTCTAGTGCGGTAGTATTAGTTAGAAGGTCCGACAAATTCCGTCTGTGTCTAGATTCACGGAATATTAATAGTGTTACCGTTAAGGATGCGTATCCGTTACCGCATGTAGAGGGAATTCTGAGCAGGTTACCGAAAGCAGAATTCATCAGCTCCCTCGATCTTTGCCGTTCATTTTGGCAATTTCCTGTTGCCGAGAATTCGCGGGATTACACCTGCTTCACCGTCCCTAATCGTCCGTTATACCGCTATTGTGTCATGCCTTTTGGCCTCTGCAACGCCCCACAAGCACTATGTCGCTTGATGGATCGCGTCATTCCTCCCCAACTTAAAAACCAAGCTTTTGTATACCTCGATGATCTTCTGATCGTGTCCGAAGATTTCAAAACTCATATGTCCGTTCTGACTGAAGTCGCTCTTCAATTAAGGAAAGCCGGTTTAACAATAAATGTTTCCAAAAGCAAGTTCTGTATTAAGGAAGTTAAATATCTTGGCTATATTGTTGGTAATGGGAAACTGCACACATACCCGGATAAAGTTTCGTCAGTTACCAACTATCCGGTGCCTACCAACGTGAAGCAATTGCGCATATTCCTTGGAATGGCTGGTTGGTACCGCCGTTTTATCGACAATTTTGCTACGATAAAAGCTGCCCTTTCAAACCTACTTAAGAAAAGTAAAAGCTTTGCATGGAACTCAGAAGCCCAAGAAGCGTTCGATAAGTTAAAAGATAGATTATGTTTCGCACCGGTGTTGGCAAATCCAAACTACCAAAAACCTTTTATAATACAGTGTGATGCCAGCAGGTTAGGTGTTGGTGCAGTTCTCTCACAGAAGAATGAAGATGGGGTTGAGACTCCGATTGCATATTTTTCTCAAAAGATCAACAAAGAGCAAAGTAATTACTCTGCGACCGAGCTTGAATGTCTCGCTGCCATGCTTAGCTTGAAAATGTTCCGTGCGTATGTCGAAGGGCAAGAATTTAAAATTGTTACTGACC